TTCGGGCTACGAATCACCCAAGTGCGAATTGGTGAATGTACAGTACTCAAGTTGGAATCAAACGAGAAAACTATTTCGAAAATGCCCGAGGAAACTGGAACCCAACAGGAAGTAACCCGGCAAGTCACTGGGAGGGCCTGTGGGTCATTTTGATTCTTCAGAATATGTTAGTTCTGTTAGTCCTTTCAGTGTTGTTTCATGTGTAGATTCAGATATTAAGGATATTGATATATTTAGATTGAGGATTTCTGAATTAGAGCATGAGTTGAGGTTAGCTAGGCAGCAGATAGAACAGGTCAAACGTGAAAAAAACGATTTCAACGGCACAGTATCACATCGAGCTGAGACTGCACACAGTGGTTTCTCTTCGAATAAAGAATTCGTCCCTAAGCAAAGAACGTATGCCCATGTAAACGTCGATTTGCGAAGAGTCGAACTGACACCTTTCAGTGGAAATCCTGAACAATATTGCCAAATCATTCACCAATACGAAAATTTCGTTGAATGCAAAACCGACGATGCAGGGCAAAGGTTTCTGCTTTTGCTACACTACTGTCGGGGGAAGGCTAAGGAGGCCATAAAAGGGTGTGTAATGCTGGACCCGGAAGTGGGCTGCCCGAGAGTCAGTAATATACTGAAGGAGATGTTCGACCAACCATTCCGAGTGGCACAAAACATGATTGACGGGGTGCTAGCAGAGGCAAGGCGCACAAGAGGCGATACCAGTTCCCTAGAAAACCTGATCATGAAGATGCAGAACTGCAGCATCGCCCTAAACCATCTCGAATATCTGTCAGACCTGGATGCACATCACACGCTGGAATCGATTGTCAGATGTTTGCCGTCCGAAATACAGACAGCTTGGGCGACCGAGGCCGATCGAATCGAGAAAAGGAACAGAGAGGCAACCTTTGATGAAATCGCCCAACTGATAGGTTGCCAATCTCGCATAGCAAATAGTCGATTCGGTCAACTATCTAGGGCAAGCATCAGGACCGCTAGGCTTTCAATCAACTTTGCACCGTCTGGATCTCGAGGTCTCCATCCCCCACACAACTGGGCGAGCACCAACTCATATGACACACAAATACCGAGTACGTGCAAAGTGTGCATAAGTGTCCACAAGCTTGTTGACTGCCCAGAGCTTTTGTCAATGAAGGTGATGGACCGCTGGACAGTAGCTAAAAGGACAGGGTCCTGCTTTGTGTGCTTGAGCGATACCCACAGAGCAGCCCTTTGTAGAAACCGAACCAACTGTGGTCAAGACAACTGCAAGGTTCGGCATCACCCCTTATTACACCACGATGGAGGAGTCGAGCAGCGAACAAATAATGGCCGGGTAGATAGAACCAACGAACACTGCGGGGATACACCAAAATCTGTCTGCACTATCGGACGGGTGTCGAGTGAGCCGGTCCGCTTGGGAATAATACAAATTCAAGTAAAAACTCCGCGTGGCATGGTCGAAGCCGTGGCGTTTCTAGACAGTTGATCGTATACCACCCACGAGCAGTTGGAGCTTCTAACCTGAGTTTGAAGTTAGCTCCCACATCGGGGAACATACGATAGAGGTGGGCCAGGCGTTTACTATCGCCGAAATATCAACGAGAGCTTCCGGAAGTATCCG